AGATATATATATATATATATATATATATATATATATATATATATAGGCATTATGCGATGAAGAAGACGCTCAATTGGAGGACTGCTGAGGGGTTGCGGCTGTTCTTCTATGAAAGAGTCATTCAGCAAACTATTTTTCTGCAAGTTGGTCTCAGTGCTCGGGCTGCCGCCTTTGAACACATGCGATGCCCACAGAGGCGAGAAATATGCACGGAACTGCATGCATGTTGAAGGGGGTCTTTTGCTTAATAATGTTTTCCTGAACTGGCATGGCTCACGAACCTTGTAAGTTGATAGATGGGCCAAGCCAGGAATTAATATCAATAATGCATTCAAAGAACGGGGGGTGGACTGACAATACTGTGTCAGCCACCATATATACTATGCCCTAACAAATATTATTGCACTTGTTCTTCCGTGCATGTGAACCTGCAGACTTGTAGAGGGTTTCTTTGCACTCAGTAGACGCACCAGAGCAAGGCTGGTGCGCTTATTTTGATAAACGGCCAGTAGCTACTACTGTACCTGATACAGAAGGAAGAAGAACAAGTGGTTTAGGGGTGTAGACCTATGTCGTGGTGGGAGCTGGCTGGAGTTGTTTTACAGATTTGCAGGGTTGGAGGCTCTTGAACTTCTTCCATTCCCAGGAAGTGCAGCGGGCTGTTGACTGACTGACTGCTACTCTTCTGTTGCATTGAGTTGTTAAAGCCTTCGCCCGAACAATCTTAACAGAAGCGTACTAAAATGCATGCTTTAAGGGAGAAAAGACGTGAGTGATCTCTACGTAAATGATTGGGTATTCTCTCTCTTTGCTGAGGAAGTAGTAAGCATTCGCTTGCAAGAGAGGAATAGCCGCAGGCATTGAGGACTCGCTAAGTTTCCATTCCAGATATTGCCCGACGCTGGGCTTAATGGAGATATCTTGAATTTCGTGGCTTGAATTTCGTGTTTCAGGGGTAGCCTGCGCCCTCAAGACAGAAACACACAGCTCAAGGTGAGCGCAGGCAGCATTGGCTATCACTTGCCTTCGCGTACTGTGAGAGCAAGAGGGTCTGTGGCTGCGGTAGGTAAGCTGGGGAGGCGAGAGGCCTCTGATGTTGAATAGGAGTGAAGAGTGAAGAGGAGAGTTTGTTTTTTTTGTTAGGAGTTGTTGTAGTTTTCTCCCTCCACTCCCACATTAGGGCGTCTTTGGTCTTTGGGGCATACATCAATATGAATGGTAAGGAATGAGCGTACACCGCATTATTACAGCTAGTGGTATTGTTTTAGTTTTAACCGGGGGGTGGGCGGGGGGGTAGATGGGGAGGGGGCTGTCTAGCGCTACGGCCCATGCATACAGTTCGGTCTCTCAACTGTAAACAACAGCGGATTTCCTGTAGTAACGCCCCGGTGGCTAATCTGAAAGGCTTTTTGTTAAACAGCAGAGCCCCCTGTGGGAATCGAACCCACGACCTTTTGATTACGAATCAAACGCACTACCAACTGTGCTAAGGAGGCGCACAAGCTTCCGTCTTTTTTTCTAATTAAAAAAACCGCCTCTACGATATGGGTACACTGATCAGGAACTCCGCTTCACTGCTGTATTTCATACCAAAGCAACGAACAGTTTCAATTATTCCCCGAGGTGTTTTTCGGTGCCAGGAGATAGTGGAGAATTACGGAAGAAATCAACAGGAAGGGGACGACTCCCTTCACAAAATATCTTTAGAATTTCTTTCTACAGGAGAAATATTAATTATTAAAGGCGAAAAGGACGCCAATGCTTCTCATTGCTGGCTGGACTGGTGTGCGGTCCAGTGGCTGACGAACCTTCACCCGTAGGAGCCATTGGCTCCCCCCTACTACTCCAATTGGCCTCCATACTTCTGTTAGACGTTTTGGAGGGCATTTTTGTTTAAGAAAGCTCTTAAAGCAAAGCGTTCATTGAATGATGAATACGCACAAACACAGAGAAGCAGTGCGTGTTGACGCCAAGTCGGTGGGTGGCGCAGAGTTACTAAAACATGAATAACTGCCGCCAATCCTTGAAATTCCCCTCTGCCTTGAATTTGAATACTTCCAAAAGCGAGACATTGAATGGCAGAAGTGAAAGGCAGCCGCTTGCCTTAGCACCGCTACCGTCTGTCAGTCGCCCTGCATTTCAATAGTTCATCTACGGTTTCGTAGTGTTTGCCGGCATAAAGGACGTGCAGATATACAGCATAAAAACAAGAGCTGGCAATGCAGGGCCCGGTGCCGCCTCTCCTCGAGAAGGTGAGGAATCAACCTTCTTTGGTGGAGTGCAAGTTTTTGCAGGAATGCAGCTGAACACGCCGAATCCATGGAGTACTTAGCATGATAGTTTCACATATGCTGGTAAGATTCATAGGTTATATTAGATCGCAACTGAAATTTGCGGTGTACAGACGGGATTGGTCTCGGGCTTCCTGTCGGTTTGCAAGAAGCGGGGGAAACTTGAACTGTTCGAGCGCCCTGATCTCCCACATGGCAGCATAATGCGTTTTAAATGTTTTTGCACGCAGTGCACCCCTCTGCACTCTTTAATCTTGCGTTTTTTTTCCTTCAACGGAATTCGTTCCGCCCATCGGTTTCGGGTCCATGAGGGGGAGGGGAATCGCCGCCTTGGGCGGCTTTTGATGGCGATTTTCGTCATTTTGTTTTTTACATCCACCGCAATTCCTTCAGTATCTGTGTCCCAAAGGCGAAACAACGCAGAGCATGCAACAGGGGGGGCATTCGGGGGAAGGCGGTTCGTTCTCCGTAAACAGTGCCCTCCTCCGAAATGCTGCAACGTTGTGGAACACGTGTCACGAACAAGAGTAAGATTCGATAGCGTTTCAACACTGTGAAATCGTTGCTGAGTCCTCACGCCTCCCCTAGGGAGGAGCCACAAGGGAACTAGGTGCGCAAGGAAGCAAGCAGGCATGATGAAGCGAACGCCACAACATTCACTCTATCCCAGGCAGGGCACTTAGGAGCTCGATTGAGAGAGGCGACAGCCTCCATGAGGCCATAATGAAAGCGACGAGCAACGAAGCAATGGCAGGAGTTGCTGACCGTTCTTTTGCGGAGAAGGCGTTGGAGGAGAAGGCGAAAGCCGATTTGTCAGTTGCAGAGCAGGTACTTCCCTCTCCTTGCACATGCACGGGACCTCAAATGAAACGAGGTGAAATTTAGAGGCAAGCAAAAGCAGAAGAAGAACTCGAACAACTGAAGCAAGCGGACAAGAGAGATGAAGACAGGGCTGAGGAATTTGAACAGCACCGAATTGAAAAGGAGGAGGAAGAGGTGAAGCGGCAGAAACACGCTGCTCAGTCTCTTATTTCGGAGGAACAGAAGTTAGCCGCCGCTCTCGAAGAAGAGCTAGCTGCGCTCGAGGCTGAGGTTGGGGCCACAGAAGCAGATGCAGAGGCAGCAGATGCAAAGCTTGAGGCGATGGTAGAAGAGGCACTGGGAGAAGAGAGTGCCGAGGAGGCGGCCAGAAAAGCTGAAGAGGCGGAAGCCCATGCAGAGGAAGAAAAAGCGGAAAACGAACGCACAAAGGCGACCCGAGTAGCGGAAATTGCAAAACACATCACTGAACAAACTACAGAAGAGCTCGAACATGCGGCTGAGGCCACCAACGCCGAAGCCGTAGCCGTACCAAAGACGGTGGAGTCCATAGGAGAGTTACAAACTAAAGTGCTTTCCGATGTGGAAGAAAGCGAAAAAGAGGAGCAGCAGGCCCTGTCTGAACAGGAAAAAGAAGAGGGAGAAAACGATGAAAAAGAAAAAGAGGAGAACAGTTTAACGAAAATAGAAGAGGAATCTGAAACCGGCATAGACGAAGAAGATAAAGATGAAGAGGAAAAGGTATTTGTCTTGGTTTCGTTTCAAATACATCTCTGCATGGCTCGCACAAGGGCAGACAGAACCAGTAGAAGAAACGAAAGACCTTTTGTTTCTCCTGCGGCACTTACCTGCACCCAAACCCTCTAAGCCTGCAGAGAATGGCGAGAAGGAAACAACAGAAGAAGAAGATATATGGGCCGATCTGCAGCCGTTGGAGTTTCCCGTTGCTGCAACTGAACAAAGAACGCCTGAGCCTCTCGAAGCAGAGCCCCAAGTGGTGCGTTGTTTGGCTGAATATTTGCAGTATTCAGCTGCTAATGCAATATTTTATGAGCAACACAACTGCAGTCCATGTACACCTCAACTATGCCTCCTGCTGTTCAGGACCCAGAAGAAGAGGAACTCCCTGAACTCTGGTTTGGAAACAAAGGACCTGAAGAAGAGAAGCTGCAAGCCGACGTACAAAACGACAAAGAGAAGAAGTGGTGGCAGTATATGTTGGCCTAAGTTGAACAAATAAAAATCAAAAAGCGGTGCCGCAGCCCGCGTGCCTCTTCCCGTTGAGAGGTTGTTGGGGAAACAGAGCAAAGCAGGAAAAACAAAAGCTGAAAAGAAGACAGAAATGAACCAATTTTGTGGAGGAGGCCCCCAGTAGAATAAAGCAAAACAAACACAGAAAAGATGCTGTCTGTGCGCTCTGCTCGTTTCTTTTTGCTGCCTCCGCAAGGCACCACTTATCCCTCCCCGAGTCTAATTAGCTGCAATTGCATCGGTTTATTTTGTTATCAAGCAAAGCAGACAAGGCTAGTGAATGTGTAGGTCCTCGCACAGCCCCCGCAGCCTCTCTCTCTCTCTACACACACATATATATATTATAGATGAGTATATATGTATATATGTATGTATAGTATCGTTATATTTCGGGGAAATGCTTGAACAAAAGGAACAGCAGCTGGACATATATATATACATACATATATATATATATGTTTAAAAAACTGAATAAAGGTATGTACGCACACAAAAGCAGCAAGACAACTATATATATATATATATATATATATATGCGCTAGGGAGCCGTTCCCTAGCGCCGTACTTCCACAAGATGAACCTTTCCGTCTTTGTCTTTATGAGGAATCCAAGGCCCTGAGATGTGGGTTTTGTTGTGGGTGTAGAGGCACTTTTTATCAACATCGGGCTGTTGCATGAATTTCTCTAATGAAGGAACTTCTTCAGTTCCTTCTCTGCTGATTTGTTCCATCTCCTGAGCAACAGCTCTATAGGCGTAGTCCCCTATAAGAGGAAGCTGTTCAGATAAGAAATGTTTAAATGCAATTTCCTCAGAGGCACTCATCTGCACGTCTCCCAAGTCTGCAAGCTCCGCTTCATTATCCCCAGGGGCCCCCTTAGAGCCTTGGGGGCCCCCCCGAAGGCGTTGAGGAGAGTTAAGACAACCCGATAACTCCCGCAACAAAGACAGAAAAGTTGAGCACAAACACCATAAAGGACGCGGATCGCCCGTTCGCTGCTGATGTAATATCGCCTGCAAAAAACGCAAACACCCGCATGCCCTATATATGTATACAAACATATATATATATATATATATTTATATTTATACTTATACATAATCCAGAAATAGAAAAGATACATAGATACGCATGATATATTATGCAAATATACCTATATATCGCGTTTGTATCTATATATGCAATTATTTACATATATATATATATATATATATATATACCATGCCTGCTTTCCACCGTACGGCGCGTGCAAGTAGAAGCACGCTAACCCCGCTCTGCAGTTGTTACAGATGAAGATGTTATTAATAGTATTGCATGCATGCATTGCAAGACATGAAGACAAATCATAGGCATTCGTTTCCTTTCTCCTCTCTCCAAACAAAAGCCGCAGCTAACTAGAAACAAAGTACTGCCAGATAAACAACTCCCTAGGCTAACTTTTAATACTCTCAGGAAGCTCCTTGCTCCCCAGGGGCCCCCCCTGCTCCACTGGGGGGCCCCCTGCTCCCCAAGGGGCCCCCTAGGCAATCGTTTGCGCCTCTTGAGGTGCGTTGGCTGGGGGGGCCCGGGGGATACAGAGCGTTATAAGTGTTTAGGGTTTACGGAGGCATATTAGATGTGGCTCTTTATATTGATTAGGAAACGTCTATATCTCGCTTGCCTTTGCAATTTGTTTGGGGTGTAGCTCAAGCTCAACTTCGTACTGCCAGCGTGCAGGGGCCTCTCGTCTATTGTCTGGCTGGGGCCCCCATGTGGGTTTTGTCTGCTGCTGTACTTTAGTTAGATCAATCCTCAGCCCGCTGCGATGCACAAGACTCTGTCTCAGTCTTAAACGGCGCAGCTGGGGCTCTGCTCCGTTCGTAGGGGGAGGGGGGGGGGCCCCAGGGTACCCAGGGGGGGCCCCCCCGCTACCCCTTGCTGCACACGCCATCTGTAAGAGCGACTTCTGCAGGTCTTTAACTTCGATTTTATGTTCAAAGTTTATCGCGAGTCTGTAATCAACCCGTGCCCTCTCAGCTGTCTCATCAGGGGCCCCCGAGGGGCCCCCCCAGTCATCTGTGCTAGCAAATGCATCTTCTTTATCTGCTCCTGTGTAGACATTCCACTGCAGCAAATTCTGCTTGTATATACCAGGGCTTATCAGCACCTGTGCCAGCCCCTGAATGCTCATGGGGCCCCCCAGAAAGGGGCCCCCACGATAACTAGCGGGGCCCCTAGAGGCCCCCTGGGGGCCCCCTAGGGGGCCCCCCTGGGGGCCCCCTACTGCATCAGCCAGATTGGTACTGAAGCGCGCGGAAGCTTGTAGAGCGGGAATGTGATAATAATTTTCTTCTGTCTCCACCTCAGGCAGCACTTGCCAGTCGTCTCCAGTGAGTTGTTTAAGGGCCTCCTTGTTGAAGGTATTGCTGCACTCCTCAGGGGGCCCCCCTTGGGGGCCCCCCTCGTCTGCAGCATCAGCGCAGTCCTCTGGGGCCCCCGAATAGGGTTCTATACCCATGAGAGCTAAGTGAACCTGCATGCGTTGTGCAGCAACTCTTCTGTTGTCTGTTGCTACCCTCAGCAGCAGCTCTTTAAGCTCGGCAAAGTGTGCAGCAGAAACTCCAGCCGCAAAACGTGCCTGGGGGCCCCCCTCCTCCCCTGCTGCGTCTGTACCCCCCCCTGTACCCATGCAAAATGAAGGCTGCAGCACAGCGTGGCTTGCTAAGGGTAGGCGCAAGCGACAGTTCTTCTCTCTTTCTAGTATTACCCCTAGACGCCCCTCAAGCTCAAGAGTAAAGGAGGGGCCCCCCTCTGCTGGGGCCCCAGTAAGGGGGCCCTCAGGAGAGTCTTCAACAGCCTGGAATAGACACGGATGCTCTTCATGCAGCAACAGCAGCTGCTGCACTAGCTGCTGCGCAACTTCATTAATAAGAGGGCAGAAAGAAGCATCTAACGCCTCAGCTAAAACGAGAGCTGAGGCTGGCAGCACACCCCTAGGTACTTCTTCAGATATACCCGCAGCTTGCTCCTGCATTTGCTGCGAAGCAGAACCATCTTCTTCTGCTGCTGCTGCTGCTGCCTTTGCTGCTGATACTGCTTGTGCTCCTCCTTCTGCTCCTGCTGCTGCTGCTGCTGCTGCAGGAGCAGCAGCCTCACCTCCAGCAGCAGCAGCACCGGGGCACGCTGTCATGTTCTGCTGCTGTTAATGCAGAAGCGGCGCCCTAAATGCAGATACAAACGTAAACTTAACAGCAGCAGCAGCAGTCTTATATGGTGCTGCTGCTGCTGCTGCTGCTGCTGCTCAGTCAGAGGGGGCCCCTCTAAGCAAAACAACTCTAGAGGGGGCCCCACGGAGCTCGGCTCTGTTCCGCAATGTTTTGGGGGTGAAAATACAAATAAATATTATTTTTAGTATTTATTTAAACAAAATTAAAACATATTCACAGATATCTCCTACTGCTTCTCCCTTCGCTGCTCTATGAAGACCCTGTAGCTGGGGGGCCCCTGGGGGCCCCCCTGAACCCTCTTTCAATAGGCGAATCATAAAGGGTATAGAAATGGTTCATAGGAAGAATATTAATTGCATTTTAAGTGTTTAGTCTCCTTTTATCAGCAGCAGAAAGGCCTCTAAGGTGCTGTACAGACACCGCAAACTGCTAGGGGGCCCCCATGAGAACAGGGCCTCAGAGAGGCCCTGCAACTTTCTTCTTACTTCAACAACACCAACAACCCCACCCATCTTCTTTCTGCTGCTGCGATGCAGAGGCCTCTCCCTGCTGCTGCTGCGCTTCTTCAGCGCCGCCCCCCTCAAGATGCCTGCGGCAGCAGCGCAAGCTGCTGCTGCAGCACCACCAGCAAATGCTCCTGCTGCTGCTCCTGCTGCTAATGCTGCTACAAGCAGCTGCAGCGGCAGCCTTCCGATACCCTCCTGCGCCGTCTAAAGGCTTTCTTTGGGGGCCCCCTAGGGGCCCCCTCCCTCGGTATGCCCCTCAGCTTAAGTTTGATTGCTCGCTAGGGGCCCCTGGGTCTTCTTGCTGCTGTGCGTTCTCAAAGAGGGGGCCCCTTAGAGGCCCCTTGATTGCAACAGGGGCCCCAGGGGGGCCCTTGGGGGCCCCCGAGGGGGCCCCTGAGCTATGCCTGGCATTGGAGACATCTTGCGATGATACTGCAGCCGCTGTGGTGACGAGGTTCGTTGGCTGCTGCTGTTGCTGTTGCTGCTGCTGCTGCTGCTTCTGCGGTTGCTGCTGTTGCTGCTGCTGCTGCTGTGGAGGCCTACACTGCTGCCTCTGATTGCGTTTCCGTTGCGTATTCATTCGTTTGTTTGTGTCTGTGTCTGCTGCTGCTGTCGCTTCTGCTGCTGCTGTTCCTGCTGCTGTTGCTGCAGTACAGGAGAGATACTATCAAACTGCGTGTGGGGCCAGGGGCGGCTTAATGCTGCCTTTGGGGGTGTCTGCCCAGCAGCAGCAGCAGCAGCACACAGAGCGCGAGTGCTGTCTGCAATGGAGGAGGCCCTTCTCGTTTCAGGTCGGCATACTTTTTTTATTTAAATAAATAGAATAAACAAATGCAGCAAGAGAAGCAGCTATAAACTGCAGATACACCCGGATTAATGCCTCTTAACATGAAGGCGCGAGGAGGAGATCTTCCCTCGCGAAAGGACGCTGCTGCTGCTGCTGCTGCTGCTGCTGTTGCTGTTGCTGCTGCTGCTGCTGTTTATACTACCGGTTCTGCTTTTGCACAGACAGCAGCAGCTGATGCTGCTGTTTCTTTTTTCACAATAACAGCGGCAATTGTTGCTGCTGCTGCTGGTGTCCGCTTGTTGCTGCATGAGTTGTTGCTGTCAGCCTTCCCAGTTTGCTGCGGCTGTTGCTGCAGTTTCTGCTGCTGCTGCTGTTATTTCTGCTGCTGCTGCTGCTACTTTTTCAGGTGCCGATTCTTTTTCCCTGAGGTATGTGGCGTTTACAGAGGGCCCTGGTCTGTCTCTTTGTCTGCGTGTAGCAGCAGAAGCAGCAGCAGCATTTATAAACTCCTTGCATCTTCTGCTTCATCTCGCTGCTTCTCAAGATAAGCAGCAACCTCCTTCCAACACCTCTCTAGACCTCCTCCTTTCTGCTGCCTACGATGCAGTTCTCACAGAATTCTCAGGGGCCCCTGAGGCCCAGGGGCCCCCATGGGGGCCCCCATGGGGGCCCCAGGGGGGGCCCCAAGGGGGCTTTCAGGGGGGGCCCCAAGGGGGGCCCCGGGGGGTTCTTCAGGGAGGGTTTCAGGGGGGGCCCCAAGGGGGCTTTCAGGGGGGGCCCCAGGGGGGGCCCCCAGGGGGGCCCCCAGGCGAACTGTTGCTTGACCCTGTGAATCCCCGTATTATTGTTGAGCCTTCTTGGCATTTGCGGTGCGCCTTTCGTTCGTTAATAAAAGAGAAATTGAAATCTCTACACTTGATAAAGCACATGCAGCAGCAGCAGCAACAACAAGAGCAGCTGCTGCTGCGGGGGCAGCAGGAGGTGCAGCAGCTGCTGCAGCAGAAGGCTGCTGCAATGGATGCAGTGAGGCGAAAAGTATTTGCTGCTGCTGCTGCTGCTGCTGCTGCTGGGGCTTCTCCTGCTGTTGTGGGGGTACACCACTTGCAGGGGCATCTCTTCAGCGCTTCGCTGCCTGGGGCTGCGGTGTATTCCCTCGACAGCAGCAGCAGCAGCAGCATCAAGCAGCAGCATTTCCCAAACAAACCAGCAGCAGCAGCAACAACAGCAGCAGAGGGTGTCGCAGCAGCAGCAGGTGCAGCAGCAACAGCAGGTGCTGCAGAAGCGGCAAATGCAAAAGCGGGAGATGCATCAACAGAAGATGTATTAGCGGGGCGATCAGCGGGGGCAGGTGCAGCAGCAGCAGCAGCAGCAGCAGCAGCAGAACTTGTGCCTCCTAACGAGCCCTTGCTCTGTGTGCTGCTGACGGGGGCTCACTCTCAATTCTCCATTTTGCGAAGAGGATTTGTGCAGGAGGAGCAGCAGCAGCTGCAGCAGCAGCAGCAGGAGCAGCACCAGCTGCAGCAGCAGCAACTGAAGCAGCAGCAGCAGGAGCAGCAGCAGCTGAAGCAGCAGCAGCTGAAGCAGCAGCAGCAGGTTCAACAGCCAGCGAAGGCACTGCAGCAGGAGCCCCACTTGCTGCGAGGGATGCAGCAGCAAGAGCAGCAGCAGCAGCCCCAGCTGTTGCAGCAGCACTTCTACTTCCAGCCCCGCCTTCACCCGCTGCCTAAGGGAGACGGGGGACCCCCTAACGCTAACGGGGCCCCTACCTGCAGCAAGGCTCTCAACAACCAACCTGCTGCTGCTGCTGCTGCTGCTCCTGTTGCTGCTGCTGCTGCTGCTGCTGCTGCACAGGGAGGTCTGGGAGAGAGCAGCAGCAACTTGCTGCCTTTGCCTTATTCCTTTCTTACGCTGGGCAAGACACTCGATGATGCACTCGGAGAGGCCCTAGACAAGACGGCGAGGCTCCTGCGCACTCTTTCTGCTCCTACCGAACAGCCGCAGCAGCAGCAACAGCACCAGCAACAGCAGCAACAGCACCAGCAGCAGCAGCAACACCACCAGCAGCAGCAACAGCACCAGCAGCAGCAGAATGAGCTGCGACCGAAGGAGCAGAAGGAGCAGCAGCAACAGCACCAGCAGCAGCAGCAACAGCAGCAGCAGCAGCAGCAGCAGCAGGCAGGTGGAGCGTATTTGGAGTGTCTGGCGTCTCTTGCTGTCCCTTCTGATTTGCTGCTGCCCCCTGCACCCGCATCTCACATGCAGAATACGCTTAATTTGAGGTAGGGCTTCTTTTCTTCTTCGTGCATCTCTGTCTTTGCTGCTTTCTCTTTGTCTTGCTGTTGCTCTCTATACTTCTCTGTCTTGATTTTTCTCTCTGTCTCTGTCTTTCTCTCCCTCTCTCTCTCTCTCTCTTTATCTATATCTATTATCTATCTGTTTGTGTATATATATATGTATATATATAATATGTATATATATATATATATATATCTATATATATATATATCTGTCTATCTATCTATTTTTCTTTGTTTCTTTCTCTCTCCCCCTCTGGCACTTGCTTTTCCTGTCTGTCTCGCCCTTACACAGATATAAACATAAATATATACGTATATATATATATATATACATATATATAATATCTATATGAAGAGAGAGATGAATGAGTTTGTGCGTCGGCGTCTCTCTCTGTCTGTTTATTTTATTATGCCTGGCTGATGTTTTGCTGTCTCCTTTCCTCCGTTCCCTCTCTATTTGTCTCTTCATTGCACAATTCACTTCAGCAGCAGCAGCAGCAGCAGCAGCAACAGCAACAGCATCAGCAGCAGCAGCAGCAGCAGCAGCAGCATCAGGAGAGTGTTGTTATGGGTGTTAATGCTGCTGCAGCTTCTCAGGTATAAAGACGCATTTAATTAGACAGATGAATTCTTTAAAAACAACCGCCGGCAGCCTCTCTCTCCAGCAGCAGCGCTGCGTAGCCAAATATATTCAAGACTGTGGGCCCTACCTTCCCTCCCTCCTCACTATTAGCTAGCTAGCTAGTTAGTAGCTAGCTAGCTACCGGCTAGCTGGATAGCTAGCTAGCTAGCTAGCTACCTGTTAGCTAGGCGAAGGGCCGAAAGTCGAGCTGCTGGCTAACCGTGTTGCCGACGCAGCTGTGGATAGCTACCTATATCTAGCTAGCTAGCTAGCTAGCTAGATACAGGGCTGCCAGCTGTAGGCACAGCTCGCTAGCTAGCTCTCCAACCAGCTAACCAGGCAGCTAGCCAGCCCCGCAGGTGGTTAGCCAGCTAGCGGTTACATAGCTAGCTGGCTAGCTAGCTAGCTAGCTAGCTAGCTGTTTGTATGGCTGTTGGTGTGGTGTGCGCTTGAAGGTCTTTTCTCCTACGTCTGCCGGCGGCTGTCGCAAGCCCTTTGGCTAACTGAGTTCATCCCCGAGCTCAAAACCCTCGCACTCGTTGGAGGTCTGCTGCTGCTGCTGCTGTTGTTGTTGTTGCTGCTGCTGCTGCTGCTACTGGCGCTGCTGCTGTTATTGTTGCTGCTACTGCTGCTGCTGGTCCTGCAGCAAAGGCTACCCGGATTGTTTCTGTTCCAGTGATGCTGTTTTGTCGTTGCTGCTTTGCCTCTCTTTTCTTCTGCTGCTGTTCTGTCTTAGGAGTCGCTCGCAACCGGCAGCTGCAGCAGCAGGTGCAGCAGCAGCTGCTGCAGCGCAGAGACCCGCGCCACCAGCAACGCGAGTTTGCTGCTGTAAAGAAGCGTCTGCTGAAGCTTGTACAGAGGCTGCCTCTTCTCATGGTTACTAGCCATTCGAACCTTCAGCAGCAGCAGCAACCGCAGCAGCAGCAACAGCAGCAGCAGCAGCAGCAGCAGCAGCAGGAAGCTGTAAGGGAGGCGCTTCGCGTGTTGGTGGGTGGTTTTTCTTTTGCTGATTATTCTGCCCTTCGGCTTCCTCTTTCTTCTTTTGTCTCCTTTTGCTGCAGTCTGTCTCCTTCAGCAGACTCAGCTGCAGCTGCAGCAGCAGCGTGGCCCCTCTGTGTGTCTCCTGATATCCTGGCTGCAGCAGCTGCAGCACAAAACAACAGACGAGCGGCAGCAGCAACAGCAGCAGCAGCAGAGGCAGCGGGAGATAGTAGCAAAGGTAAATACACCGATTCCAAATGCAGACGTTTTAACATACTGCTGCCGGGGAGGCAGCTGCTGTTGCAGCACAGCAGCAGCAGCAGCAGCAGCAGCAGCAGCAGCAGCTTGAGGTCTGTTCCCCTTAACCTCCCGGGGGTTCCTTCGCCTTTCCAGCTGCTCCCAGCATATCTTTGCTACTGCGGTTCTTGCAGCAGCAGCAACAGCAATAGCAATAGCAACAGCAACAGCAGCAGGAGCAACAGCAACAGAAACAGCAGCAGCAACGTGCGGGGTGTGCAGCGTTTAGTAGTACCTGCAGCGGCTCTCTGTAACGACAACGCTGCTATGATAGGCTGGGCTGCTTTTCAGTATATGCAAGCACACAAGGAAGCTGCTTCAAAGAGATTTGCTGCTGAGGAGGATATAAAGGCAGCACCGCAGCTGCAACAGCAGCAGCAGCAGCAGCAGCAGCAGCAGCAGCAGCAGCAGCAGGTAGAGAATAGCCTATCCGTACCCTTTATACGTCCGAAGTGGAGCGGGGGAATGTCTCTGCCTCATCCCTTAGCAGCAATAGAGCTGCTGCTGCTGCATGCGCTGCTGCAGCAGACTCTTCCTTACCCACCTTCTGTGCTGCTGCCTGCAGCATCTGAACGCTGACAATATTATCAGAAGCATTTTGCTTGAAGGGCTTCTGTCTGTCTGCTGCTGCTTGCCTTGAGTGCTGCAGCAGTTGCAGCAACTGCAGCAGCTGCAGCAACTGCAGCTGCTGCCCAGTGCTTTGGGCGCTTCTATCAGTCTGCTGCAGCTCGCCTTGAGTGCTGCAGCAGTTGCAGCACTCCTGCAGCAGCTGCAGCAGTGCTGCATAAGCTGCAGCAGCTGCAGCAGCAACGAGGTAGGTGTTGCTGCTGGATCTATTGCTAACAACAAACAGCAGGCGGCAAAGGGTAGCTTCCGCATGCATTCTTCTTTTGTTAATCATAAAGACGTTTATGTTGGTGCATTTGTTTGAATATATTCGCGGTTTAATTAATTAATTAATTAATTAATTAAACAATTAATTATGTGCTGCTTTCTTAAAGACGATGCGAGTGTTACAGAGAGGTGCGATGAAGAAGCCTTAAAGCAACTGAAGAGAATATATAAACTCTTTATACTTCTTTACTTCTTTAATCAAACAAAACAAAACAAAATAAAATAATTTAACAAAAGAATTAAAGAAAAGGTGCTCTGCCTATATATACATTAACCCCCGCACCTCTATAACATTTATTATTATTATCATTATATTATCATTATTATTATTATTATTATTATATTATTGTTTAGGGTTTTAGGGTTTAGGGTTGTTTGATGAAAGAGAAGGAAGGAGACAGATTTAATTAAGTTTAAAATTATCTTCATTGTACACCCAAGCACTTCTACAGAGAGCTATTATATATAATATATATTATACATATATATATATATATATGTGCTTACTAAGGGGTATATGAGTGTTTATTAGCTGCAGAGAGTGCTCGTGCATGCAGCAAACGGGGATGGCTGTTTAGATTTGCATGCAAGCAGTAAGTTTAAATCTTTATTAATCCTACTCTCTTGTAGATACAGTGAAGCTACAGACAGGGCAGCTGCTCTACAATAACAATAACAATAACAATAACAATAACAATAACAATAACAATAACAATAACAATAACAATATAGATAATAATAGATAATAATAAATAAGAACAAGAGTTTATGAAAACAAATATAGTATAATATCTTCTATGTTTGTTAGACATGCAGCTTGCTGCTGCTATCCCCGAACTGCAGCAATTAACTAAATGCACGTTTACAGCAGCAACAAGTACTACAACCCAACCCCTTGGTGTCTATGAAGGCTCTTGCTTCTCAGGCTTAGGTGAAGAACAGCAGCAGCAGCAGCAGCAGCAGCAGCAGCAGCAGCAGCAGCAGTAGCAGTGGTGTTAGCGTGAAGAGGGTTGTTGTCTTTGTCTTTGGCTGGCTAATAAGCTGTTTATTAATAAATATTCTTTCACATGCTTCTTCGTCTCAGCTGCAAGACAAGACATACTCATCTTTATTATATCAGCAAATACCCCTACAGCTTCTTCCTACTCTTTATTTGCTTCAACCCACTCAGTGTTCGCTGTACTTTGTTTGGTTGAAACTGAAGAAGAAGCTGCAGCTGCCTTTCATTAGATATATTAATTTTAATTTATTTAACTCATAGAACTCTGCTGTATGCTGCAGCAATATATATATATATATATACTGCAGACGCCGCTATATAATATATATTATATATAATAGCTCTCTGTAGAAGTGCTTGGGTGTACACAATGAAAATACTCTTCATTGAATATAATTAAAATAAAACAGTCAGCCCCCCTGCATTCTTTCTTTTGCTGCTGCTGTCAGCGAACGGGCCCGCCTTGACAATAGACACAGCAGCAGCAACAGCAGCAGCAGCAGCAACAACAGCAGCAGCAGCAGCAGCAAGGGCAAGCAGCAGCCTGAGAATCAGAGACTGAGACACACCTCGGCTTTGTCTGTTTTAGAAATAGAAATAATTATTTTTATATAACTTTATTATGCATTTTATGCAAGGGTCTGCATACAGCAAAGAGAGCAGCAGCAGCAGCACTGCAAGCCGAAGCCCCTCAGGTTTGAAGTGTACAGACAGCTGGCTGTTTGCGTCTGCTGCTGCTGTTATTTATCTGCTTTGTTTGCGGGATCCTAAAAAATGCATTTGCTGGTTATGCCAATTGAAGAAGTACTCCTCAACAATCTCTTCTTACTTATATTAACACTGCTGCTGCAGCGTGCAGCCGCAGGAACAGCA